ATGCGAGGTAACGCAAAAGTATTGCGAGGTAATGCAAAAGTAATGCGAGGTAACGCAAAAGTATTGCGAGGAAAAGCAAAGGTATTGCGAGGTAAAGCAAAAGAAAAAATCCCTCCATGTCCCCTCGCAGGTTCTGTAAGAAAGTCATACAGTGGTTTGAACAGAAATAATTAAGTACTATCAGGTTTTTAAAAGTATTTCAATGACAGAAAATAACAGAGAACCACTGGGTTAAGGTTTACAAGAGAAACTATCTTTTTGGAAAGAGTGTTGAGGACATATTTAACTGTTTTTGAATCCAATTTACACAATAATCAATGTTATAAAAAGCAATTGAAATAGAATAAAAGGGTTGTTTTTAGTGCTGGGCGGTATTCCGTTTTGTACCGAAAACCGTTTTTTATTTTTGTTAGGAGATGAATTTTCTGAATACCGGACATACCGGTTTAAATAGCCTGAACATGTTCGGAACGTTTCGTCGCGGCCGCCAGTGAACTGTTTCCTGGGGGACACTTTTCCTCGCAGCACCGCTATGTGCATTAGCATGCTAATGTTATTGCTGGAGCAGCTTGTTGGAGTAACTGGCGGCGGGTGACGATTCCACTGCTTATACTGACTGAGGAAAACAAAAACATCCTGTTTTCACCATCGCTGAATGTAGTAAACAACTCTTCAGTGACGTGCACGGTTAGATTTAATGTGCGACGTTAATATGGAGACGCATGGAGACTTAATTGTGCTTTTATTGTGAAAAGCCCGGGGGAAGTAGTTTTATAGTAGAGATGAGTTGACTGGTGTGCAAGGTGAGCTGTCCTGTTAAGTTTTATTAACACACAACGATAGACTCAATTATCTTTTCTCAACCCTTCACGATTGGACCAAAATGCATGATTACTGTTGACAACCAGGCAAAGAAGAAAAGACGTTTAGAGGAGGGAAACAGCCACACAGACAGAGGTACAGTAAAAGAAAAAAGTCGATAAGCAACTTTTGTACATTTTATTATCAGCTGAGCTGTGATAAAAAAAATACCATCAAATACCGTGAAACCGGTGTAAATGTTAAAAATACTGTGATATAAAGTTTGGGTCATACCGCCCAGCACTACTTGTTTTTTATTAAAGTAATTATCGGCTTATTGTGACATTATTCAGATTTTATACTAAAGTGTACATAAACTAAACTAATAGCTGCTGATCTGTAAATATCAGATGAGTCTTACATTGTTATTTTCCTCTGACTCCTCGTGGTCTTCTGGCCGGCTGTGATTGCGGGTGGGTTGGATGCAGACCACGTTGCTGTCCCAGGAGGGTGGGCCCACAGGGGGCAGCTTAAGCGGCTGATCATCTGAGAACTCCTCCTCCTCGGTCTCATCTACACACAGCACATTCATAACAACTGTCAATAAAAATACAATGGCAAAATATGTGTTCCCTGCAGAAAAGTTTTACCTTTCGAGTCTGAGGCAGAGTACGGGTTCCCAAAGTGCAGCTTGCTAGGACTCTGAGCCACCAGCAGAGGGGTGGGGGTATCATGGGCGTAAGGAACAGGATACTGGAGGATTAAAGGCACACTGGGCAGGTCCTCCAAAGTGATTTTCTCAGTGGCCCCCTGATCATCTTTCCTGTTGCTACTTGTCTGGAGATCCTGGGGACCACATAGGCAGTGATCAAAACAAATAGCTGCAGTGGACACATTTCATGATATAGGTCAGAAATATATGACTGTGTTGTATCACAGCAAGTCTGTAGGCTGGGGGTCAAACTCAGTTACACAAAGGGGCCAAAAATCAAAACTTGGACCAAGCAAAGGCAAATTTCTGTCCATATTTATTGAAGAAATGTTACATAACAAAATAACCGTAAAGAATTACAAATAACCTTTTCTAAATGATGTTTTATGTAGCATTTAGAACATACATAACCTAATGAATTTAAATAATAAATTTAAAAAGATAATACTGTATTTACAACTTATTCTCTATCAACAACTTGTTCATTTATTATTTCTTAAAGAAACATTTATCACAATTCAGCAGGTTAAAAAAATAAATACTTGCTAAACCTCATTAAAATAAGAAAAAAAAACAGATAAAGATAATTACAGTCAATTCTCAGTTTCTCCTTCCACACCAAAATCAAAAATTACTGAAAAATTCAAACTTCATTTTTATGACTTGAAAAATGTTCAGCTTTCATGAGAGGACTGTGCTAAATAAAAAAAACTAAATTAAATTTAAGGCTATTACCTCTGGGACTGGATAAAATGTTAACGAGGGCCAAATCTGGTCTGCAGGCCTTGAGTTTGACACATGTGCTCTAGGCTCTTCTTTTTATTCTTACACAACCAGTTTAATTAGCTCCTAATTAAAACAAACTTGTGAATTTTAATCAAGTAAAAAGTCTGTTTTAATAACGTCATTTGATGACGCCAAGTTAATTTACAGTCTAAACCTCAAATCGTGTGACTCCACTTTTCTGAACTGTACCAGCATTAGCTGGTATTTTAGGTCTGGAAGAACCTTAGCTGTGGTCCAAAGTAACGGAGTGGAATTTAAGAACTCATTTAGTTTGCATCTACAATTAGAGGCATTTTAAACACAGACTACACTGAATGAGGGAAAATGGCAGGAGCATGGCACGTTGCGGGGAATTTTTAGAGAGCTCTATAAAAGACAATAAAAGTTGTCACTAACCCCCTCCAGTTTTTCTTTCTCCTTCATGACAAGCACAAGTGTGTCCTTCAGCTCCTTCAGCTCCCGTCCTTTCTCAGCTACCTGGCTCTGGACATAAAAACAGAGAAATCACATCTTTTAGTCTTCCTCCTAATGTTCTGCTGATTAACAAAGGCGTCACTGAACCTTAGTATTTGACTTTAATTGATCCCAGCCATAAATGGTTTTCTTTAGCTAAAGTCTGATTTATGTACAATACTGTTCAAAGCAAAAGTAACCTGTTTGAATTCCTCTGAGACATGAAGCAAATGTCTGCCTGACCTGAGCCAAGCACAGCATTAGCTGTGCAACCAGAGAGGACTCCCCCAAGCCCCGCTTTGCTTGTCTCCAGAGCCTGACATAAACAGCAGTAAAATGTTGTCTCACAGACGGGCCTGCTCGTAAACAACACTGTCAGAGCAACCGTGTTCAAGGGGAACGATAGCATCAAAGTCTCGATGCTTTGAGCTAGTCCAGCCAAACACAGTGGTGAAAACACTTTGACTGAACTGCTCTGAAGACAGCAGAACATCGTTGTCGGCCTGCGTCATGCAGAGCTTCTCGAGCTGTAGCTGCACCGACCTTGTAACGATCTTCTGACTCCGCCAGCTGCAGCTTCAGATTCTCGTTGGTCTTCAGTTGCTCCTTAAGCTTCAACTCCTGCTTGGCCAACTCATCAGCAAACATGCAGCTACGCTCCTTTTCTTCCTGTAGAGGGACAAGCAGGAAGCAACCGTTTTCCCATCACATCCTTTCATATCTTCAAACTACAGAAGCTCACAGCATTAAGCAAAATAACTCTATTTATACATTTATATGT